CCTATTTGAGACACTATTAGACCCATGTACCAAGCACCTCTTTGGCAGGTTTCACTAATTTGTAACATACACCCCTAACTACATACCTGCTCACTGTATCCAACTCCTTAGAATGTTGGTTTTCCAATCTTGAGCTTTACTTAATCTACAAATATTTGTTAAACAGTGTATTGAAGCCACAACAAAACACCTTCATTTTGACTGAAAGCATTTACATCAGTACATGTGGGTAAAGAGAGACCTCACACTCCCATCACTCTGAAAACACCATGGAGGCCCCACAGTCTGATCTGATGCAACAATCATTCATAATCATGCGATAAATTTATCCTGCTCACACAATGTGATACTGGAACAGTTTCAGGACTTCCCATGCAGACATGTGCCTGGATCCTGAGGATGGGTCCAGGCTCTCATCTGATTTTGTGTTTCAGAGATCCTGAAATCAGGTCCTCATAATTTTTAGCAACTCCAGGCACAGGCCTGCCTGACAATATAAACATGAAGGCTGGGTGCAATTGCAATCAGGAAACTTGAACCCACCTAACATTTTCAACCCAATATTGGTCAAGGTTGCACCTGATATTTTGTGGGATATCAGGAATCTGCTCACAGGAATCATAATTTATGTTGTATACATATCCTTTAAGTGCAAAATAAATGGGTGGGCAGGCAGAGTGGAGCTGGTTTGGATGTGATGGCCGCCTCACTTTAGAAGACACAGGCAGTGCGTGGGCCAAGGCCCGTTGACCGCGTGGTGTGGCGGCTGACTGGCGCGTGTCATGCCGCGTATGACGGTCGCGCGTCACGGTGCGTGCGAGCGGCGCGTGTTACACCGTGTGTGACTGTTAAGTGTCACACTGCATGTGACTGGCGCGTGACACGCCACGTGTGACCATCGCGTATCACGACACGTGTGACCAGCGCGTGTCACGCCGCGTCTTGCCCTAACCCTTTGTCTGTGCGCCAGCTTTGCCGCCTCAAAGACGCAATGCTTGTGTACACTTTGGCTAAATCAGATGATTTGTTACCACGTTGGTATGCCCAAAGCCCAATTACTACTGCTACTACCAATTTGGTACACTTAATGGTGCATAATCCCGAGTTGCATACAACACTTATTTGTGCCGAGAACAAAGAATGTAGTGGGGAAAATAATGCGTATTGTGTCTTTTCGCGCGTAGCTCGCGGCAACCGCAGCATAAATACTCGGGAGTGATCATTCACGCGTATACTTTAGAAAACGTCGGGTGAATTTAGTCCAGAAAGGCGTCACAGGTGGCTTACGTGCTCACGTGCCTGCACCTGGAGTGAATCAAAGCGTGTACGGAGAGAAAAGGAGCGTGCAGATCTTTGCCTCACACAGATCTCACACGTGAAACAAACGCTAATTGCCATGTGCGCTTTTCTGCCCGAGTGCCTCGTTGATCGTACCAGAAAAGGTGCACAATAATGACGTCAGCGCACGCTTTGTAGGTGGTTTTTGTGGATGGTTTAAACAAGCTGAGAGGAGTTTGTATGGATCATTTTAATTGGGTGTAGAGCTTTACAGTGAGAGTGGAACGGAAAGTAAACACCGGCGTTCACTTCCACGTTGTTCGCATGTCTTTTTTCTTCACGCTTCTCGACTCTTTTTCATTTTATTCATTGTAATTTTGTTGCACGCTCGCTGAATTCCTGCTGCAGTTAATGATCGTGTTGCTTTAAATACAAACAGTACTTGGTGAGGTCCTCCGGATAGCGACTTGAAGACGGCAATGTGTACCGCACGTGCACCTTTGGGACTTGGAAAGTTTTATGTGGTGACGATCAGACTTCCTGTCTGAGGATATGTCTACCAAATTTGGGGTCCCAGGTCATGCTCAGAAGGTCATGACCTCCTTGCGTGGGGAACCCCAAGTCAAGCTTGGTCACATGCATGCGGGTCACATCGTGGCATTGATTGCCTCAATATTGGTGTGCCTTCGTGTTAGAGAAGAAATTCGTTAAATCGAAGAAATTCGTTAAATGGCAACTTCCGCGGTAGAGGGGGTGCACCTCAGCGTCAGCGTCCCGTACACTGTGGTTGAAACTATCGAGTCACAAAACTGCCACTCATCGACTGACAAGTATTCTACGGCACTCCGCTGCCAAATGTCACCGCCCTGAGCGCCGCCGCCGTTGGGAGAGCAGCTGTGGGTCGGCGACAATGGTGCAGGAGTGTTCTACGGCACTCCGCTGCCAAATGTCACCGCCCTGGGCACCGCCGCCGTTGGGAGAGCAGCTGTGGGTCGGCGACAATGGTGCAGGAGTGCTGATGTTTGGTCTCGCCCTACGTGCGAGATACAAACTCATTTGATGGTCCAGGGGCGGCGGCTGGGGGAAGGGGGGGGGGGGGTAAAAACCGCGGCTTCATTTAAGCAGTGGGGCCCAGATCATTAACGGTCTCGTGTTTGCGTAGATGGTGCAGAGGTGGGTTGGATGTAGATCAGAAGGGCTCCCCGCGCGAAATTGGATGTCTTCTTGACTCGCGAGGATTTTGTTCGCCATGTGATACGTGAGGAGTAGTCTGTCTTCAGCCCTTCGGCCAGGGTAGCTCATGGTTATGGAGACTTCTACGTGCTTCGTGATGGATTTTGAGTGGAGGGAAGACTTTGTCATGGGGCTTCCTGGGCGAGATTGGGCCTCTTAGACAAGATCGGGCCTTCTAGACAAGATGGAGCCTCGTGGACGAGATGGGACCTCCCAGACGAGATGGGACCTCCCAGTCGAGATGGGACCTCCTCGGGTGTTGAGGAGAGTTTCCTGGGCGTGACTTTCCAAAGGGCTTCCCAAGATCCGATGAGAAGAGGGCAATTGAACTCCCATTGCAACATGCTCTATCCAAGCTGTATCCAGTGTACTTTCCTAGTTTGGAGAAATTGAAGCTCGCCTTTCTTACAGTACTTTTGGGTCTGGGGTGGCAGAGAAAAGCTGGTTTTGTCGGTTGATGAGAGAATGTTAGTATATCACAATCAATTCAAACGAATGATATCTACGGACGTTTTTTGGTGTTGGCTTGGTGGCCTGACATTTTTATTGGACAGTATTAGGGCGTGAAAATTTCAGCTTTTTAACGTGGTTTGGTTTGTTATTCGTTGCGGAACAGTCTGGCTTTTAAAAGCCATTGGCAAGTATTGATCCATCATCAGCGGCGTAGCGTTAATTGTGTTTTGTAGGACGACTTCTCGATTACCATGGTTCGGAGGTGTCACTTCTAAAATCATTTGGGGAGGGAAGAGGGGCTTAGCCGAAAAGATTGACCTAACCTACCCCTAAAACATGATTTTTCTCGGGATTTCGGCCACCTAAGTTTGCCACCTCGATGTTTGAACAAAAAACAACTTTCCTAATATTTCGTAGATTAAAAATTTTTCTCCCGTGAAGAAATGACTAACCATTCGAGTTAATGTGCGCTGTCTTTTTGGGAAAACTTAGAATGGGGTGTAATTTACAGGAAAATATCTTTGCAATCTTTAGTAAGGGATCACCGATAACGACTGCTGTCGCTGATGGGGACTGTATAATCACCACAGCCACGGGCATGCGGCAAATACACTTGCTACTGTTGGGGAAAGCATGTGTTCAGTCGTATCTGGGCCATCGTGGACTTTGAAAGCCGCCACATATTGCAGTCAGTTGTTTTTTCCGAATCCAGGCGTTATCATTTTAGAAAACTTGTCAGACATTTGCAGGCTGGCTTAGCCTATGAAAGAGTTAGTATGACCCGTTTAAGGGTCTTGGGAATGACAAGTACATTGGGTGCCTTCAGTATATCATTTGCTACAGAATTAATATGGTACTAACAGTGATGTATTTAGGGTACCGAGTGCCTAGGTACACACATTCGCCCATTGGTAATATAATTGTTTTGCGTTTACTTGGCCCGGTATCCCCTATTCATTCGTTTGCATTGAGAGTGGCTCGGAGGAGCATCGGGAGGGGGGGGGGGGGGTAAGGCTCGAGTCAGCATTGCGGGGCTCAGCGGCCTCCCCCCGAAAGTTTATGAAATGACGCCCTGCCTAGTTACTTAGAATTTAACTCGTCAATATAGCGGCTTCTTGATCCAAAAAGTTGACCTCCTGATGCAGGAAAGAGCTTCCTGAAACAAACCAAGGATCTCCTAGCTCAGCTCAGAGCGTACGCACATCGTCGCCTCCGGGCGCACGCACCAACTTGATGGCATGCATTTATTGTGTGTGATAAAGGTCGTGTTCCTTAAAATGTACATGTCTTAATATTGCAAGTCCTAAATTACACACAGGTACGTAAAAGTAAGGATATGGGGAACACGCAACAAACAGTGTGCGTCTGCTGTGCTAGCCTAAAACGCTAAACTCGGTTTTCAGTGAAACTTTTTGAGCCGGGCACCCAGTTATAAAATGCTGCGTACGCCTCTGGCTCAACCATGGGGCCTCTGAATTTGAATAAAATATGTAAATCTACAAAACCTCAGCTTGGGTAAAAGTGTACAAAAAAAAATGCAGGTGACAGATGCATGTTCTGGCCTTCTGCCTACCAGCAGAGGCAACCTACCCCATCCTCCTCCGGCTGTGTCGCCCCGGGCCTTGTCGACAAAACGGCCCCTTTTGGTGTAAATTTGCTGTGGTCCGAGGATCCAAGTACATGGGACAAACAGGCCTCGCGGCCGGGAGGAGGGTGGCGAGAGACCCGGATTTTGTCCAGGAGCCCATGAAGGCTCGATCTCGATCGATCTCTCGATTCTCCACGATCCCGGAACAGACCTCATTCTTGAACAGCTTTTTGACGAAGCGACGTTTTGTTTAGCTGGCTGCGTTTGGCTTCCATCCTCTAGACTTGCATTCCCTTACCTGCTTTTCATTTTGACTTTTGCCTTGGTCTTTATCCTTCTGCATTGTTGCTTATTCGGCATATTTTAAAGATTATTCAGACAGAGGGGGAGACAGAGCCAGAGGTCTCTGCTCACATCTTCTAACCGCTTTCCCTCTTCATCGGCAGCCATGTCGTTCCGGGTACGCAGCAGCAAGTTCCGCCACGTCTATGGCCAGACGCTTGAAGAAGGAGCAGTGCTATGACAACATCCGGGTATCCAAGTCATCCTGGGACTCAACCTTTTGTGCGGTCAATCCCAAGTTCGTGGCCATAATCGTTGAATGTGGCGGCGGCGGCGGCTTCATCGTCTTCCCATTAAAACAGGTGGGTTTTTTTGGGTTACCTACTTGCGCAGCTCTGTTGCGCAAGTAGGTAACTTAACGGCATTAGGCAAGATTCATCGGGTTGGTTGTGCTGGATAATACGGCAAGCGAAAGTCCGTTGTAACATAACCGAGCTTTAGGGTTCGCTCTAATCCTGCTCGTCGAGTGGTGAGTCTACCGTACTCTCCCCTCGATTGTTTTGTTCGGGCACCCCAGCACATCTGCCATTACTGGTTGAAGAATGTTTTGGCGTTGCGTGGCGAGCGTTACACGTCGCGTACCGCCATTAAATGTGCCTAAAGTAGCGTCGGTGATGTCGAAGTGGTGCCATCAATCCGTATAACACGTAACGCTATTTCTTTGCAAGAGGCCTTTTTATTCAGCTTGTTTTATTGTTTGTGTAATAGACTGCGCCCTGAAAGCAATCCCTGCGTAAAGGGATATTTTATTCGATACAAAGGCCAAAAAATCAATTTTAGAAAGTCGCCGTGCTTCACAGTGTCTTTTTTATTAAACGAAATGTTTCACATTTGAAGGTATTGAAGCGAGCATCAGATATGATGAGATAAGTTCACTTATAGCTATTGGTATACTTTTAAAAGAAAAAGACTGCTCTTGGCAACACAGTTTCACAGTGTAGTAAATACGCCCCTTAATAAGTCATTGTTTCATTACGTGGTCGTACCTCGCACAATGTTGATTGAGAGCCAATTTACGGCCGTCATATCTGAAAATCCTGCTCACAATCGCGAGATGAACAGCTGAACAATCACATTTGTATGGGCTTAGACCGCCGCATAGCTAATGGAACAGCAGGATTTGGACGTCGTTATTATCGCGTCATGGATACTTGGATAATCCGGAAAGAGTCATCTGGAAAAAGTCTGCATATCTCCGTGGCCGTGTAGCTCAGAATTAGGGCTTAGATCATCAGACGGCCAGGACTGCGAGCTGTACCGAAGGATCTTGAAAGTGGCTATTTCGGCTTGAAATGTCATACAAACATGGAACATTTCCTTTAACTACATATTTGAAATGATCGCAATTACAATAGAAGCAGAATAGGACCGTTCGACTTGGTTCCCACGCTCATCCGTGCAGGAGCATCAATAGAGTTCAGCATTGCTGTCATGTCTACCAACCTTGTGCGTTGCAAGTGCTTGTAATTACTTTTTTGTTTGACAGTGACGAAAATTTGAGAGCTTTTTGTCTGATGTGGATGTGTATGGTGATGATATGCATTCCTGCGCATTGTGCCACGATCTGCAGCCGATCGTGATATTGATCAATGATAGTGGATTACATCAAACAATGAGACCAGCGCTAAGGGTTGCTTAGCCTCCGTACCAGCAACCTTTCTCTTCACCAACGCACTCAGCAGTTCTCAACGCGGCTACAGGTCCCGTCCATTTACATTGCAATTGATTGCGATCCACTGATTGCACTAGCTCCAGCCAAAATATGCCACCTGGCGTAAGGACCCGTGACGATGGAAGTCTGTAAGTCAAACTTACGGACTTTTTGGCCGGCGGCAAACTTCTCTTTACGATGTAAGCATATGACATCTGGTGTCAGGGCAAACAGACGTCAGTTTCGAAAAGCCAGTCACGTAAGCTGTGTGGTGGCACGTTTCTTCTGTTAATTGCACGCTTAGACGGAAAATGTTTGAAAAGAAGGTCGACTCTCGGTTGCGTTAATGTGAGTGCCGCACCGTCCGGTCTCGGCGACGCAGTCAGCAGCGCGCCGCGGCCATAAGTGGGAGGTCTCGCGTTAATGCACGGGTTGACCAGGACCTTTCTTCCAGTTCCCTATCGAATTTGCTGGGTTCTTAGCCGACACAGCCGATACGTGCTGCCAGTATGATACAGCATTGATCTCAATGGCGTTGTCTTACGAACATTCAAGACATGGCACCCGCTCATACTTGAAATGTATCCGCTAGCGAAACTTCTGCACCACGCTGCCGCCAATTAGGGGCTGCCAAATATTCCGGGGAAGGTAGAAGGCTGGTACCTACTCTACTTAGATTTCTAGCACAATACTGAAATTTATATAGCAAGCTTCGTTCTACCAATCTTCTGTTTTCCTACATAAACCTTCCGCAAATCACGAAGTCATTCCCGTACTCCAACCCCATAGGCCAACGTATGAAACCAGTGCATAAAATTAAAGGATTGTGTTTTCCAGAAATGGTCGCCTGATTTACACGCGGTCTGGTGTGGGGGTCAATCTGACCCCTCCTCTCCCTGAAGATTTCCCAGAATGGTTTCCGAACAGCGTGGCGTAGCCGTACCAAACCTTGCACAGCTATAGGCAATTGCATAGTAGATTTTTTGGTTCACAACAATTAGATGTACCGTGTCAGATCGCTGACATACGGTTGGTGAGAAGTCAGACCTTTATTAGAAGAGCCTATTCATTTCTGCTATTGTTTTGATGAAGGCATGTTACCGAAATATCAACCCAACTATATCACCATTCTCTTGTTTTTCTCCGGGGAATAAGGCTATTGCTACCGTCTTATCTATGTGAATAATCCTCATCGCTAATGTATTGAGCAACTTACGTAAACATGTATTTTGCCCACCTTGGTGAAGTGATATTGTTGTTCAACTCAACTCACTCACCAACTTTTATGCCACCACGGTTTTCAGTAGTCCGCCATTTCTTTGTTGGGTACGGCATAGGCACGGCCTACCTGAGCGCCATCACCGCCCCAGGTACGCTGTGCCTGAACGTAGGCTTGGGCCGTACCCGCGGTTGTTCTGAGTTGCATCTCTGATCTTGATAACCAGCTATGCCCAATCCATCCGTGTATCAGGCTGTAGTGAGAATAAAGTCCTAGCATGTGACGTCACGAGGTCACTTAGTGTTGGAACGGTGCCTGCTGATCTTGATAGCCAGGTATGACTAATCCATCCGTGTAGCAGCCTATAGTGAGACTTAGGTCCTAACATGCGACGTCACGGGGTCATATAGCGTTGGAATGGCGTACCTGTAAGTGCTGATTCTAGGAAAATCACCTGCACCGCTGCATAATTTCCCGCCTTGATATCAAATCGTTTTATTTCGCGCTCTGGTGCCGTCACGGGGGAGCTTCTTTTGTGGACGGGGCGACTTTACCTGACATCTTATGATTGATCGAGTTGAGTGACGTCGCTGGTTCAGCATCCACAGTGTTTGTAAACGCTCAAGTATGATTTATATTCTGCTTCAGGTGAACCTAGCCGGCTGCATTATCTTGTAATAAAAAGACCACCAGATCCGTTGAATCGCTTTCGTCATCCCGTTCTCGCAACCGGTACCCTCAAGCGGAACTGCAACTTATACGCACAAACCAGCGCATATAAATCGAACCGCGCGCCGGATGCGAAATAGGCCCGTCCGGCAAGTGCGTTTTAAACACGGTTGTTCAGTTTCGCCGTGCCAAATTCATTGCTGGCCGGCGTGCTCCGGCGCACATTGTACCTCGTGTGCGTCACTGATGTCAGTGGTTTTGTCGCCTCACGCACTGCGCGGCCTGCGAGCTCGTGCGAGCTGGTGCCACTGCCGGCCGAGCGGCGTCCTCATCGCCTGAGCAGTGGCCAGCTCAATGACCTGTGTGTGCTCTTTGTTTGTGCGGCCATAGGCGACGGTGGCAGTCACAGGTAGGTGCACGCCGGCCTGGGCGCCGTGGCCGCCACGCCCCCACCTGTGTCGGCCCCTGCCCGTCCCCTCTCCCTCCCGCCGCCTACCCAGCCGGCGCCAGTCCAGCCCGCGGTGACTCACCGCTATTAATAGGCGCATGTGGCCGGCATCGTGTATAGATATGGCTGCCTGGGCCAACGGTAGGCGGCAGCCCACACGGCGCGCATCATGTGTCTATCAGTGAGCATGAGTAGCCCGCCCGCCGCCTCCCCGTCCTCCACCGGGCCACATCACCGAATATGGGCAGCGGCGCACGCGGCGGCGGCGACCTCGCCGGGTTGGACAGCCCTGCGTGGTGGCGGGGCGCGTGCGTCGGCGCCGCCCGGCCACCAGGGGCGCAGGGGTGTTCGACCTGTCGGCCAAGGTTAGGCGGCGCGGCTGGCAGCGGCGCCGTCGCGGACGTGGCGGGTCGATTTTTGCGGGCTGTCCCAGATCCGTCGCCGCCCGGTCACGTGTCAGCCGGGCGGTCCCACGCGCCGCCGGCCAGATAAGTCGGCGCTGCGGGCCGCCACTTTGACGGCACCATGGCCCTGTTGATGACGCGGCCCGTTATTTTCGGCATGTTGTCCCCGTGTTGCCCCCGCCACGTTCGCCGCAGCGATGACGGCATGAACGATCAGTGGCGTGGCGGTTTTCCAGCCCGCGGCCGTCGGGCGGCAACTTTCACCGCGCCCCGTCTGCGTCCGGGCGGCGGCGGCGCTCACCCGGGGTCACCGAGCCGCCGCCCGCTGACCCCCAGCCGGCTCCGGGGCAGCGGAGTCGCGCGCAGCCACGGCCGGGTGGCCGATGCCCCAGGCGGGCCGACGCCGGTCCGGCCAGCGGCGCGCCGCCTCCGGCACGACCCATGTGTGGGCCATATGTGGGCTACGTCGGGGTCGCCGGGCCGTTGTCTTAGCGGCTGCGGTGCAAGGGAGGACAGACGCCTTGCCGCCGATGGCTGTTATCGGTCCGCCCTCTGCACGGTCGAGGCGAACTTGGCGGCACGATAGCCGCCCACGGTGGCACCCGGCGGCGACGTCCAGCTCCGCCGCCAGCGTCGAGGCGCGCTGGCGGTAGCAGCCGAGGCGGTGCGCGGCCGCTTTGAGGGGCGGGCGAGAGAGAATTCCGTGCTCCGGTCTTGACGACCGAACCTAACCGTAGCTGGGCTGAGCTAGCCACCAGGGAGTGAGAGCGAGAGTCGAGCATGGTCGTGATCGGTATCATGATCGTCGGAGGCAGAGATGGAGGGAGGCAGAGAGAGATTCAAACGCGCGGAGCGCATCAGTAGGTAATAGGCATGCATGCGGAATGCAACTTCCCAGCCCGCCAGTTTCT